GAAAAAAAAAAAAAAATTAAAAAAAAAAAAAAAAAAAAACACTAAAACAAGACTCCATTAAACCCCACAGCTTGTAACCTCCTGCAAACTTTAATTCTTCGAATCATAAAACTCTCATTAGAGTTATCATAAATCACCAAACAATACACCAAGCCAGAGGGTTAATCATTGACCATGTTCAAAAACCCCAAAAAAGGGTTATCAAAACCAAACTACACAAAGAACACACTCACTCACCTCATCACTTTCCTCGTCGTCATCTTCATCCTCGTCTTCCTCGTCTGCCTCATCATTCTCCATATTCTCTTCCTCCTTCTCTAGGTACTTAGCCAATTCATCAATTTTCAAGAATTTATCCTCAATGCCACCACCTTCCTCATTCCCCTCCTCGCTCTCTTCATTCTCCTCCTCACTCTCTTCATCCTCCTCCATCGCTTCTCCTTCTACTTCCTTTCCTTCGTCCTCATTTTCTTCCTCATCATCATCATCCTCGTCCAGTTCCTCGTCAAAACCGTCACTCTCTTCTTCCCACTCGTCTCGATTCTCTTCCTCCTTCTTGTTCCCACCCTCCGAAGGAACCTTCAGTTGAGAAATCTCTTCGGGATTCTCAACGAGCTGCTTCAAGCGGCGGCGAAGGGTGGATAGAAGAGGCTGCGATTGGAGGTCGATTTGTTGCCATATCTGTTCGGCGTCGAAGCCGTCGACGAGGAGTTGGTCCAATGGCGATTTAGGGGAAAATGGTTTGAGGGAAGAGAACAAGTACTGGGACGCAGTGCGAGCAGCTTCCGACAGCGACGGGTTCGGCACGAGCCATGACGGTGGTTCCGTCGCTTTTAGCCGCCGTAGGGCTTCGACGCCGGCGTCGCTCGCGTTTGGCATGGTTTGGTCTCTGTTACGCTCTGTTCTTTCGGTGATAAATGGGTTTAGTTTAGGGTTTTAGCACAGCGAAATTTTGGAAGGGATAAAACCTGTGCGTTTCAAATGGACCTAATAACAAATAAATAAACTTCGATTAATTTTCGAAAAATATTTTTAAGCACAAAAATGAGACAATAAAAATTGTTTCTTCTAATTTTGAAGCATGCTTTTCAGATTTAAATTAATAAAATAAATGTGAATTCTATATAAAAACAATTATACAATATGATACGATTATATTTCACTTTTTTTTGGGGATAATTTTATTTTACTTAAACTATATAATTAAGTGAAATCTATTCTTATATTCCTCTCTAACAATATGTAAAGACAAAGGGTATTTTGGTATACACAATTTGTTGTGTTTGGTGCATCTCTCATTATTCCAATTCCAAATAGTATTGTTGATTATCGGTCTCCAACGCTGCATGAGTTGCAATCACTTAAAAGTGGGTAAATTTTTCCCCAAAAAGTTTAATAATAAGTTTGCTATGTGTGTCCTTAAGAATACGACATCGTTTATTATTTGTGCTAAGAAGTCTAATGGCATAGCATTACTTGTATCACCTTATTCAGTGACTCCCATAGTGCTTCCTACGCCATCGAGGGAGATGTTGGGAATATAGCAAAGGATGAGTGAGGTGTAGATGGTTACGAGTCAATGAAAGGTTTGATGAAGTGTTTTCTTCTTCATCACAATTGTCCTAAATTGGTAGCAAACCAACAAACATTTATTAATTAATATAAAATAATGACAGAAGTTACAAAAATTAATGTGTACTTTGAATAGTTTACATTAATTTTTCTATATATTATGAATTTGATAATAGAACTTATTCTTTTTTATTTTTTTACTCTTTAATATACATCTATTACAGAGTATAATCTTATAAAATATCAATCTTATATTATTAAAAAATAGGAGTGACAAAATGTGTCACAGTCTGCAGATTGATTTACTAATCTGTCAAAAATTGGCGAGTTAAGCTAGGTATCCTAATCCACCAGCTCGTTGGACCAAATGATGGGTCAAGCAAGTCTACCTAATTTTGTTATATCTTTTTGTTTATTTATTATTTTTAAAGTAAGTTTAGTTAAGTCATTTTATATTTATTTTGTGTGTAATTTGTGATTTATTGTGGAACAAATTTATTATGTATTTGATTTATTTTAGTATATGTAATTTAAGATTTGTGATGCATCAAATCAAATCAGTTGTAATTTGATTTTTTTTTCCTAGGTATACTAATTTATGTAGATCTTTTAAATATTGAGAAAAAAATATTAGAAGAGTAACTCAAAATAAATTGTAATTTTTTCTTTTTTCTTTTTTTCTTTTCTCTTTTTCTCCTTTTTTTATACGGACCGACTCGTTGACATGTCATCTCATCCTTAGATAGGACAAACTAAAATATCCAGCATGTTTTCCTCTAACGAATCAGATCAGTCCAGTCTGATCCATTTTTAACAGGTTAATGATATCTTAGGCCTAATCTTTACTAAAAAGACATATTTATATAGTGAAGTCCAAAAATAAGTTAAAATGCCAATACGTGAAAAAAAAAATAGTAAGGCTGAAAATTAAGATAAATAGGTCACAAATATAAAACAATGGTCATATAACATTAATTACCTTTGAATGTACTTCAATGTGGGAAGATGCTAATATAAAAAGAAGTGTTACTATATTGGCTGCCAAATACTGAATTTTTTTATTTTAGAAATATTAAACTAAACTTGAAATGCAGCAAATTAAAGCAGAGTAAGTGAGAAAGTACTCTTGTTAATCGCAGAGGATAACAAAAATGTATAATTTACTTATAATTAAAGGAGGTGACCAAGTTGAGAAGATCTTAATATGTCATAATCACTTACCTTACATTCAAATATAGATGACTAGATTGAATAGGCTGTATGCTAGAGGTGCACAGATTGAATTTGTATAATACACGTTTGAATTTAAAATTTATTAGTCTTTTTTAGTAGTTGAATATTATCTTCTCAATTTTTTTAAATCTCAAATTTTTATATATACATTTATATTTTATTTATCTTTATCTATATTTATACCTACATATGAAGATAATGATTATGTTGATAACTACCTTGCATCTCCATTTTTTATACACCTTTACCTTCCTTGCAAATCCTTTTTCTCTCACTATTATGTTTTATTAAATAAAACCTACACAAATCATTATTACTCTTTAAGCACATGTAATTTTGTTTTTCTACATTTTCTTAGAAAAGTATTTCTTAAAATAAGTATTACTCTTTAAGCACAACTATCAAACTGATGGAGTCATAAGCGGTCGCAAAGTTTTGGAGTAATTTATTTTAATTAATTAATTTAATATAATAAATAAAAGTTACTATATATCCTTATACAAAAGTTTTATTTTTGCAAATAGTTTGATGAATAAAGGATAGAATAAGCCTAATGAATTGAGCACACCAAAACACATTTATCATCTTTTAATATAAAATTGATACTTTATATCTTTGTTATTTTGTGTAAAAAAAATAAGAGTAAAAACTAAAAATAATTGATGTTAAAAATGTGTGGATAGTTAACAATTACATTGTGTGAGCAATTTTGAATAGTTATTTAAATAGTGTGAGATGCTTGAAAAATAATTTTACAAAAACTTAAAAAAAAAAAATTAAATCATAAAAATATGGGAGAGGAAAAGTCTTTGAAAGTTAAAGACAAAACAATCAACTTCATCTTTAGCAATAAATAAATGAACCACAACTTTTTATTTAAATATAATTAGAGGCATAAAATATCTCGATCATGCTAGTTATTATAAATATCGTATTCAACGGTTAACATATAGACATTAATATTAAAAAATAATTGAAAGATAAAAAGAATTATTGATGCTATTTGTTTTTGGTTTTTTACATTATTCATATTTTCATTATATATTTTCTTCTTTGTTATTTAATTTGTTTATTTTTTAAAATTTTATTCTTCTTCCTTTTTGACGTTTTACTTTATTTATATTTTCATTATATATTTCCTAAATTATTCTTTAAGAAAAACCATCAATCCCACAAAATATATATATATATATATATATATATATATAACTTCCCCTATCATGAGGGAAAATGCTGAGGCATGAGAACAGTTATGGGGAGGGAGGTGGGATGCATTGCTATTGTCATTTTGGGTGAAAAAATAATTTTATTTATCAATTTTTATTTAATTTCTCATTTATTTCTCATTTACTAAATAACTTATATTTTATTTTATTTTTTACTTATTTTCTACACTTTCACATTTATCTTCTTTTTTTTTCACTTCATTCTTCTTTGCCAACCATAAATTTAAGATGAGAAATATACTACATCAGTATGATAAAATAAGATTATCATATACTATTAATGTACCAATCAACAAATTACTTAAAAGTAAAATAATTATCATATTCTATGATTTAGTATTTTAGTCACAAAATTATTAATTACTGTCAAAATAGATGTATCACAAAGTATGATACTAGGACTCATAATTTTCTTTAGCTTAAGCAAAATAATCCCTATTTTTTATTTTTTTTTACTTAATAGAAAGCATTTATTCCCTTAAAAAAGTATTTATTATATAGGAATTTAGATGATAGAAAACATCAAAACAATTAATTTTAAAATCCCAAGCACAATATTTGATAATAAAATATACAGCTTTTAAATAATTATATTTTTCCAAAATTGACTGTCGGATATCAATTATATAGTAGGGAGTCGATTTTTAAGCGTGAACAATATATAATCATTGTTTTTGATACATTGAAAAAATCATTTTTAGTACAATAAGTAAAAAACAATAAATTGAAGTGTAAAAACAACATAAAAATAATATATTAAAACTAAATTATAAGTGTTTGAATAAATTTTAAATTTTTAATAAGCACAAAGATAAAAGAAAATAAACAAATTAAGAATAATATTATAAATAATATAAATTATTGTTCATGATATAAAAAATAAAATAAATTGTATGTAATTATCTTATTTATATTAAAAATAGACGTATTATTTATATAATTTAATATTATATTAATTTGTTACTGTGAATAAATATTATAAAAAAATATATATTTGATGATTTAAATTTGACTACAATATAGTTTAATGATAATTAAGTAATGTTTTGAGCATAATTAATTTATAAAAAGGACAAGGACGACGGTTGATTCGTCATTTGTCTTGTCTACACAGAATCAGGTCAGGTCTCCAACCATTGTACTGTCCACCCACGCACAGCCGGCAATATGATATTCCTTCTAAAACGCACTGTCGTTTAATTGCTTTCACACAGTAAGCATCCTATATCTCTTTCTTCCTCTCTATTTTCAATTTTCCCTTCATTTCTCATGCTCATCAGAGTCTACAAATAAAATTAAATATCTATACGTTAGATTATGTGACAAGCATATTATATTCGATTCATAATAGTAGTGAGGAAGGTCTTTTTTTTTTATAGACTAAATTGATTGATTGATTCTTGGTTAATTTTAAAAAATAATAAATAAATAATATATTTATTAAATTAAAAGGTTAAATTGATAAAACACAAAATAATTGATGAACATGCAAATGAATAGTAGAGAATTTTATATATGAGATGCTTGAAAATTAGATTTCATCCGTTACACTTTCTTATAATTTTAATAGACATACATATATGAATCATTCACCTAAAATATTATTTAAAGTTAGACTCACTCAATACTTATTTTTTAGTAAAAAATTATAACTAATTCTGTAACGAGCATAAGGCTAAGGAGGGGAACCATCCCTCAAAAGCCGGCCCAAGAGGTTGGAGAACCTCCCGCCTTATAAGGCCTCCCTGGTAAGGAGACCTCCCCGATGTGGGACTTGTTACATTACCACCCCCTTCGAAAGCCAGCGTCCTCGATGGCTGCACTCCACGGTACTTCACTCATCGGCACTTCACTCGGCCCTTGCCGGTCAGAACCCTCCGATGGTCAGAACCCTCCGTGGGTAGCCCTTCTCGATTTGGCTGGCTCTCAATGAAAG